GGTGGACACTATATATAGTATTTCAGACCAAGATTTGAAGTCTTACATCTGAGCAGCACTTTCTGGTTAGGAACAAAATCATCCATGAGAAATAATTGTCTAACTTTTTATGTAGACTTGAGTCTAATGTCTGGGAAGTATAATCCCTTGAACTCTTAATGAAATATACTGATGACTTTACTCTTTGGTTATACTTTCCTTTTGGGTGTTTAAGACCATAGAGTTGGTCCAAATAAATCAATTTATTTTTACACTTCTGGTCATTTGAGGATCTGTTCCTCAGGGGTCGCATGGGCTTGGGAGGAGCTCCTGGCTCCTTTCTTTTACCAGTTCCATCTATGTGAAGATAAGTCAAAGGTCCTGCTCGACCATGGCTGGCTTCGCTTGGAAGCTGGAAGCATGAATGAGATGTTTCCTCTGAGTTGACCCTCCTCTTTGTAGACTGGACACTGGTTCAAGTCCATCTCGTGGGGTCTCCATGTCCTCCCTGAACAAAACGACAGGTGACTCACCACAGTTACAGGACATTTTGAGAGATGTTCCATAGTCCCCTGGAACTTAGTCGACCTTGGAGGGCAAGGGGCAAAAACTGTCCTTTAAGTCTCTCTGACAACATTAGCGTAGGCCTCAAACTATGGCTGTTAAATATCCAATAAGATTAGTTCCACCAGCCTGGTACTTTTAATTATCATGTGTTGTGTATATAAGGCTTGGGTAAAAAAAACAAATATTCTCAGATAAACTTTGACTAGATATATATTTTGTTCCTTAAACTAGTTGTCTAAACCATGACCATAGATGTTTTAAAATTGTGTATATTATTTATATACACAGACCTTCATCACTTGCTTAGGCCTTCTCATTTTTTCTGTCTATTTTGGAAAATATCATTACCATATCCTTTTAACATCTTTTACAGTCTCGTTTTTTGAATAATTATGAGACATAATAGCATTAACAAATAAATTTTCCATCTGTTGTGAGACTTCTTTTCCTGGGATGCTAAGCAATACTTATTCCCTTTTAACGTTCTAGTGTCGAGCCAACGTTTGATTAAAGTTTTACTGGGGAACCAATGAATTTATTGAGCTTACTTACCGAGATAACTGAGGGGTTACTGAGGTGTGTGTGTAACATGAGGGTATGTACACTAGAAGCCTTTATCCAGCATGAGTCATGCTTCTTTTCCTAGCCTTCCCCGGATTGTATACTTTAACTCTTCCCAAATCCAGGAAGCCATGTGTGATTAGTGTCAAATTACATTCAGTTGGCTGGGAAGAGTGGCTGGATAATGTGGTGAGGTCCAATGACCCTTCTTGGCCCTCCTTTAATGAATGAGCAGAACTGTCAACAAGCCCAATTGTGACAATGTTTAGCAGTCAGGCTCAGCTGATTTTATTTTATGTGTATGAATGTATTGCCTGCATGTGTGTAAGTGTACCCATGTTATGCAGTGCCCGTGGAGGTCAGAAGAAGGTGCCAGATCCCCTGGAACTGAAGCTACAGATAGTTGTTAACCACCATGTGGGTGCTAGAAATCAAACCCGGGTCCTCTGCAAGAGCAGTCAGTGCTCTTAACCACTGAGCCATCTCTCTAGTCCCAAATTTGAGAATTTTTTACAATGTATTATGATCATAGTCAACCCTCTCCCTCCTCTCCTATCCTACCTTACTATCCCCATCTTTATGTTCTTTATTTTTTTTAATATCTTTATTGAGCTTTTATATATTTCACATATTATTAATGTATATTTTATTGAATTTTTGTGTATTTCACGCAATAAATTTTAGTCATATTTAGACCCCCTTCCCCTGCTGTATTTCATACATTCTGTCATATATGCCAAGGCCTATCGAGTCAAGCTTTTGTACCCAGATGTCATTTGATACCCTTTTAACTGGCATCCATTGGGTGTCCCCCCATATAACTTTGTCTTGGAGGAAGAGGGAGTACGTATGAGGATGGGATTGTCCAAGAATAAGTGCCACAGAGGTTAATGTCTGTGTTGACCTGCTTTTGTGTTTGAAATGAACATCTGTGAAGCAAATCTTGGTGTTTATCGTTTGGAATCCATCTGAGCTTCCCTCCTGCTGCTCATGTGCTTTGGAGTGAAGTCGGGTTGTCAGTTAAGGGAAGCTGTGTGAAGTGTGTTCATCAGTTCCACCTTTTTCTTTCTAGTTGCTTTAGTGGGACCAAGCATGGTACTGTGACTCAGTGCACTGCACGATGTCACCCTCTGTCTCCCTTTCTGCCAAAAGTTAAGCTGAATGGTTTTCATTTTATGGCTCTGTACGTCACATCAAGGCATTTTTACCTTTGCAAGTTAGGCTTTGGTTTTTAACGTGGAGTCTTTTAGGTTTCTTAAGCTCAGTGTGCACCAATTGACTTAAGAGTTTCACAAAGCATTTGACCTTTACACCAGCACTCTTTCCTTTCTTAAACTATTTTTTAATGTATCAGTGTGTCTGTGTGCACATGTGTGCACATGCATACCAACATGTGGAGATCTAAAGACAACTTTTGGGAATTGATTCTCTCCTTCCACCATATGGGTCCTGGGGATCAAATTTGGGTTGTCAGACTGGCAGCAAGTGCCCTTACCTACTGTACCATCTCACTGGCCCTTTGTTAAACTCTTAACATGTGCTTAAGACAAGATATGGAGGGAAAGCAAGGAGGTGAGACTTGTA